CATTCTCATTTGCATAAAATGATTAAATCCTTACAGGTAAGCATGTGGTCTTTTATGACCCCTACTGTATGCACTCCATTTGTGATATAAAGTTGCAATATTACAAAGGTTAAAATACATAAGAAAATATATTTACAGAAGAAATATTGATAAACGGAATGGACATAAGATTCATTACTGAAGTCAGATGATGTATAATTTGAATGCTTTTGAATGTTGAACCTTTTGTGTAATTGTACATAATGTAATTGTGCATGTATGTAACTGTACATTGCAATTGTACTAATGCAATAGTAAAAGTCTTAAAAACTATAGAACACAACCACCCCACCCAAAACACCCAGACCCTTACTGAAGTAGAGCTACCACAGCGGTAGAGATGCACACAGAGCAGTAAGAGTGGAAATTTTTTGGGTCATTCCCCCTGCCTATCACCAACAATGTGCACAGGAGTATGTGCCAGCTCTCTGAACCCCCACCGTGCACTTTGATGTCACAGCTCTCCACATCTCCAAGTTCATACAAATCCATTCTGCTCATGATGTGTCTCTACACAACCTATCTATTACCATTTTAGTGCTCATTCGCAAATCTATGCTGTATCTGTACAAATTTGTACTATAGATCCTGATATTAATAGAAAAACTGGAGGGTAGAGACAGGCACCCCACAAGAAATAGCCAGATGTTAAAAGAAGAGATAATAAGTAGGAGAGACAGAGCAGCTTTGGCAGAAACCGCTGTAGGGAAGGGAAGGGTGGTTCCAGGAATTGGGAGTATAAATTTTGATTAGGGCTGGGCTGGTATTTCCCACTTCAACTGCCTAGTTTTCTCTTTAATGAGGAAATGGGATTTTCACTTTTGCCCCACTCAGTGAAGAATTAAATGGGAACAAGGACTTGCCTTCACAGGTAAACTGACCCAAATGTCACTTGTAAAGCATGACCACACTGGGAACAATAGCGTTTTAAACTCATACCTGATCTTGCTGTAAAATTACTGTACTTAAACTCTAACTGAATATAACTCTCAAAGGAAACACAGCACTTCTCTCTGTAATTACTTCTTTCAAACTGTAAGAGAAAAATTACTCCTTTCTGAACACGCTCAGGGTCAATCTTCACTCCTTGCACATGCACCACAGCCTAAAACACTAAGAAAAGAATAGAAGATGAGAGCCTGAAAAACACAGTCAGCAACAGACATACATTTCTGAATTTACACTAGTATGGACGAATTACAGTCATTGCAGTTTTCATTCACTTGTACAGAAATCAGCTTACTTTACCTCTGCTGATGCGAATGTGCAAACTGTCTGTACCATGGGATGCTCACAAGTATTTTGTACAGAAGTGCCGCTTACAGTACAAATGCAGAATAACATGTGACATATTCATAGAAATTTGCCACTAGGCCCCATGTGGATCAAAGATCTGGGCCAAATTAAAAAACAAAGGAGGAAGGAAGCAATACTAAAATGCAGTTAACATAAGCAGAGTCATCAGAGGAATGGGGCAGAGAGAAAATGCCTAAATTATAGGTGGGGGAATGGGTGCGGAAATTAGCAATGTGCAGTTTTATAGAGAATGACTTACGAACCACATTGCAAGGTTTACAGTTATCCATCTACAGAATCTTTAAAATGCAGGAATTCTTCTTCCTCTGGTTGTGTAAACTACTAGCTCTGCTAAATCTGATTATTTTCTGCAGGCTGTACTATAAATTGTTCATTTTGGTGATAGGACTACTTCATGTTCATCACAAAGAGTCAGTTGTTGAGCAAAATGGGCTTTGAAACACAGAGATAATGATCAAGAGCTAAAGTTTATTAATAGATTTATGTGCTTTCATTCAGCTTAAAACTCCCATACTTCCCAAGATCAGACAAAATATGTTAGCTATGGAAACAAGCAAAGTATTTAATCATCATGAAAGAGATAAAAAGATAGAACTAGTGAGTGATTCAGTTGAAGGATGGGACAAAGGAGGAAAACTACTCCAGTCAATTAATGCTGCATGCCTCTTCCTTATGCCGTACAACCAATCATAGTCATTGGGCTGGAGAGGTCCTCTGAAGTTCATTAATCCCTTCCTCCTCCTCAAGGCAGGCTTCACCATACCTGTGGGGTTCCTGCAGATATTTAATCTGTCATTGCAAGTCTTTCGGTGGACATTGCACAATGTCCCCAGGTAAGCTGTTGTACTGCTTCACTGTCCTGCATCTGAAAGTTGGTCCTTTCTTCCTAGAATTCAAGTCTATTACTTGTTTTCCCATCTGGAAACAGGGAGAACACAAATATAAAAGGCTACTGCGAAGCAAGATGGAGTAATTTGAAAACTGTTACACCCTTCCTCACAACACTTCCTGAAGCTGGTAATCTCAAATCATACCTACTTTAAGCTCCATACATAAACAAACCCCATGAGTATAAAAATGTGTATGTACGTTTTACATACGCTTGCTGTTTATGCAGGGAAATATTTTAAAATCATGTTTTGCTATTTTGTTCAGATATTAAAAGCCAGCAGTGTGGTACCATAAACTCTTTCACTGTTTTGTATAAACTGATGGATGCTCTCAATTTCAGACAATTATGCCAGCCACAGGAACACAGTATGCTTCTTGGCTTGGTAATAGCATTTTGGAAAGAATATTACACAAATAGTTTTGGTTCGCTGTTTGTTCAAGGACTAATAGCCTATCTGAAGTAAACTATATTACTTGCGGAGTAAGAAAGTACTGAAGTACAGGTGACACATCGGATCCAGGTCTTTTCTTTATCATGCTAGTATTTCACTCACATTTAACCACTATCTGTAAATTTATTTATAAGGAGTTTTTAAACTGATTCTCACCACTACATTCTCACAACTGTGAAACAGTCAGGGTTTCCATGAGGCTACAGCATCTAATCACCCTTGCCTTAGAGTATGAGCCTTAAATGTAAAAAAAGATCCCAAGAGCTGCTCAGCTTCTAGGAATGGCAACACTGGATCAATACCGATTCCTGCAGTACAGCAAATGAAGTACTGTTGACTGAAAAAAAGTTGATGTAGTCAGGCTGATACCTCAGAAATGTCTGCTTTGGTTGCATTATGAAGTTAATTGGCTGCAACGATGTTGCATTAATATGTCAGCTACTACTAAAAGTCTTAAATCTTCCCCCAAATAGCTGTTCAAGGACATTAACCTGCTTTATCAATCTCAAGAGTCTAAACATGCTTCATGCCAGGTCCTTATGTGGGACCCTAGGGCTCTGCTACCTCTTCCCCCACCTTGCCAAGGGTTTGGCTGTCTCTGCTGAAAGCCAGCTCTGGCAACAGCATGACCAAACAACTGGGGACCAGACTGCTATGAGAAGAGCTGTGTGAGAAAGAGCCCAGAGCGGCTTTGCCAGAGACCTGCTCCTGCTTTGCTTGGGAGCCGCGTCACCCTTAGTCCTTGCCTAAGCTATACTGCAGGTGTGCCCATGCCTGCCCAAGTACCTCACGGACCCTCATCTGCTCATTTGACCTTGGACCTGCCTTGTCGTTAAGGACTGGTCTGTGTGTCTGCTGGTTGAGCCTCATTGCTGTCACCCTACTGCTCTTCTTGTTTGATAACTGCAGGACTGCACCTCCTGTAAGGGGGTCACTGCCCCTGCCCCTTGTCACCCTGAGCTCCCAGCCTGCTTTCCCTCACAGAGCTGCCCACTCTTGCTGCTCCCCTATACCTCAAAAGCAAGGCTCACAAGGAATCTTCAACCCTATTCCACCAAAAAGCTCTTGGGTTCAAATGCGTGCCAGGCAGCTTGGCACTGCCCACCAACTATAGCTCACCTGTGTTCCAGAGTTCCAGTGCTGGACACACTGAAGAGCCATGTCTCACTGTTCACAAAATACAAACATCAAACACCTCTCCTGACCCAAAGTGAGCAACAATAGGAAGAACATCGCCTTCTTTCAAGTATTTAATAGTCAGATCAAGGCTAGGAAACCCACTTTTCTGGGTATTGCTGATTCTTACAGCTGCCCTTTCATGGGGAAAAAGTAGCCTGAGATTAATTATTAGTTCAATTAATGTATGAATTTTTAAATTATATACTATCTTCCTGCTTTAGAGACATGCTGGATATCCCTCTGCCTGTATTAGAATGACATGTCTCTCCTTCAGGAACGTGGCTGCAGCAGGAAAACACCTTTGGCACTACAGACCTGGTTATGCTTAATTCTCTCTGGTCTTTCAAAATCTACATCAGCCGCTGATTATCTAGTAGAGCACAAATTCAGTCATAGCTATGATGGAGGCTGCACAGAGCTTTGCCTCTTCTTTACCTTACACAAATGCTCTGTTCCACCACGATCTCATGCAAGCCCTGAGCAATCCAGTCCACAAATGAAGAAACTGTTGCATGAAGAACTGTCCACAAGGCAGGTATTCCTAGGCAAAGACAAGCAGACGAATTTACAACGCAGTACAGTCTCCCTCCTTGGAGGGCACATCACAACCAGTTGTTCATGAACAACTGCTGTTCATGAATATTCAAGATTCTTGAGCCAACTCTAACGTTTTCATTCACAAATGCTATCCGTGACCTCCAATTCTCTAGGATTATTGTCCAGAATGGCTGGTATCTATTACTTACACTTTTATCTCTAATTAGCCTTAATCACAGTCACAGTCCTATTTTTCCAGGCATCTCACTGATTATGCCTAGTATATTTAAGCACCATTTAAAGTATATGCCAAATATCCTTTATATGAAGTAAATGGTGTGCTAAGTACAGTTTGCATGTGCCTTCTCTCTAGCAGTATGAAGTATATTGCTCTATCATACATGCTCCAACCTAAATACATGATCAGTATTATCATGAGGTACTCCATAAGTGTATGAAAAACAAAGCATACACCAACCTAAACCAGTGTCAGTCATGAGATACTCAAAACAGAAGAAATAGTTTTTAAGCTGAAAGTTAACCATTTCAAACCCAGTTTCACTAGTATCCCGCAGATGAACCAGATTTTTTTTTTTTTACTGCTCTTGACAGCCAGCAAAATCACTGCTGAAATAAGGATGCCTTAAACCATAAACGCACCTCTAGCTCTTGATCAAACATAATGGTATTTAGGCCTATGATGAGAAGGAGCAAACTCCTCCAAACTCCTGTTCTTACAGTGCCAGTTCTGTCCACCTAATCCCCAATTCTCCCTGTATCAACCAGAATCGTGGCAAGTTTCCACCATTAATCTTTCCACATTCAGTATAGCCATGTATACAAAGCAAACACACCTGAATTGCATGGAGATAATTCCTAAGAGATAACACAATGCTCCAGGGGAAAGATGTTGCACTACTACAAACTTTAACTTGTCATTGCATTTGGATTTCAAAGGCTTGAACGTTATCAAAAGACAAGACTCCAAAAAGAGGGACATACCCTGGAGCAACCACAACTGCATTACATTTTCTCAGTGGCTAAAGAGAAATAATGGTTCTTCTTGATATACAGCATGGGTGAGACTGAGATTTGAATACTGGATAGTTCTGTGTTAAATACAAAGCATAAGAAGCTTACGGACAATGCAGAAATTTGACAACTAGAGATAAAAAAATAGGTATTGAGACACTCATCTTTTAGTTGAATGCAAAGACAGAGAGGTGACGATTACAATGTATGTTTTAAAGATGAAAATACCAGGTGCAAAAGGCATTTTTAAATTAAAGGAAACAATATAATTAAAAACAGAAGCAAGGAATTAAAGCAGGTAAAATTAAATCAGGGAGAAGAAAATAAATCTAACCATGTGACTGATTATTCTACCATCTAAAAAAAATAAATTTTAAAAAAGCATCAGGCTATGAGAAACCAAAGTTTTTACTGAAATAACTGCAAAAATTCTACAGTAAATACTGTCCAGGAGACCTGACCAGATTAATAACCTCTCTGGTTTATAAAGCAAAACACTTAAGAACCTCCAAGTCTCTTAAAGAGATTTACAGTGATGGAGAGATTCACTGATTCTTGTTGGATCCAAAGTTCAGTTTTTTGGATTTAGCAAAGAGACAATTTATAAAGCCTTCTAAAAAGCTCCTTGAGGATCAAAGGTAAAAATTAATTTCTTTGCTTAAGTAGTGAACTACTTACGTAAATGATGGGTTTCCAAGATATAAAAAATAAAATCAAGAAGAGATGCTGTATCCTGGTTAGCAACAAGCATTCTTCTGGGAATCAAAAAGAAGACATAGAAAAGAATCAATCACCTCCTTATCATAGGTTCTAGTTTCTTATTTAACTAAACTAACTTTCTGAAGAATAGGAGGCTACTGGCATGGCCTTAATGTGCTTGTTATGTGAACATATGCCACTTATTTATGTTGAACCACGGCTGGCTTACCAAAACTTGTTAAACCTGGTCCTAAGGATTCTGAGTAAAGGCAATATTCACAAAATTTAACTTAGTAAGACTATCCTTATGAGATTCCCCTTTGTACATTGGTGTGGCAAGAGGTTTCCTTATAGAGTGACTTAGAGGAACTTAAATCAGGCATTCTCAGTTGCCCTCATGACGACCATTTGTACCTCCTCCTGGCAACCCAAGAATATAAAGCCCAAGAATATAAAGTCGGTTTTTGAAAAACATAACTGTTCATCATCCTTCAAGAACCATAAAAGAAAAATTTGTTGTGCCCTTGTATGGATAAGCTTTTAGACAAAATAACTTACCCTTGATCTTCTATCTAAGCAGTCACAAATAAAGATTTCAGAAAGCAAAAACCCACAGCTCTTAAGTTAAATAAACGACAGGCAGCCTTGGTGTATCATAAATTCTTATATAGAAAACATCCACGGTTACCCAATAACCAGTTGCTGGCTATTTCTGCACAAATACAGTTCACGCTGTAGTTTATAACACACCATACTCATAGCGTCCTTTGGTTAATACTTTTACTTTCATAAAATTTTCAATAATTAACACAGGGTTTAGCAAGTTCTGGTTTTTGTGTTCATCAATGAATGAAAATATAAATACATTGGTACTGTGTCCCAATTTGAAAAAGTCCCTTTTTCCGATGAAAAATGAGATTAAAAGTTTCTTTAAAAAAATAACATAAAATAAATCAATGAAACAGACGTCCTCTTCCACGCTTGCTCTTGAGATGACTAGCAGAACGCCTAAGAGTTTTCCTCTCTTGACGATGTTGTTTCTCAGCTTCCTGCTGTTTCTTTTGTTGCTCTGACTGGAATATTAAACAAAACCAGACTTAGGTTCTTGTAAACTTATGTATCACCTCATTGTTCAAGTATCTATATATCAAGTCAGAATTCCATTAGGAAAATCTGGGAATGTTACTGTAAATGGCTCCATGCTATCTTGTCTTATACCACACCTGTTGATTCTGAGTATCCCTAGGCATTACCATGCCAAGTAATTCAGAGCAAACATTTTAGACAAAGATATCAAAAACCAGTGAATAAAATCATGTATTTCAGATGAAAACCAGTGTCTAGCAACAGACTGTAAAATTACACTCCAGAATTTATTTTTTAATGCCCTTAAGAAGGTAGAGCACAATTTGAGGCTATTTAGTATCTACTTTGGTTAACTAGTGTTACCACATTTAATATTTGCACAAATGGATTTTTAAAAGACAGAACAGTTAGTTAAATTTGCTGAAACATATGGTTTTCTAAAAAATGTTCTTAGAAGTTCTTGCAAGTGTTTGATATGCTGTATGCAATTCTAGAAAGACTTCCCACATGAAAATCATCTAAAATCTCTGCTCCTGTGGCACATGCTCTATTAATGTTTCTCCTCTTCATCAAAAACACGCTGAAAGGGTTTCATTTACATACCACATAGATGAAATGGCTCTTACAGCCATAAACTACTATTCTCTTTGGAAGACTAAGGTTTGTCTTCAGACTAAGCATAAACTGGAACTAGCCAACTTGAACTAGCCAAGCTCAGGCAACTCTCCATGCGATAAAATACTCAAGCAATTAGAGCAATTTCAACAGCAGCACAGGATAAGTGCATTCACAGTGTGATAGAAGTATCCCCATTGCATCTAATTCTGTAATCAGCAGCATTCATATGTCAGCCCATGTCTTCCTGAATCTCCCCTTAAAGTACCATTTAAACTTGAGTTAAAGATTTGCACACATAGACAACATTTTGACTGAGGTGAGATATGAACCAATTCACCAAATGCAGCAATAAGCCCATACCAGCATCAGCATAATAAAAACTAGTGGTCTTTAGACATTGTTGAAATTTATTGACTCCTGTTTCCACTGCAAGTAGGGAAACAAGAAACCCACTATGTGAAAAAGTAAGTAGTTTCTCTCTGTCTCCAGACTTCGTCTGAAATGGTCTTGAGAAATCTTACTGAATACAAGTAATTACAAGAATGACTGCTACCACTAGCATACTGAAATTGAATGATCTTGATTTGCATTTGAAACTTTGGGTTTTTTAAAAATATGTCCTCTATACCTCCCCAGTATTGTAAGTACTTAGGTATTTTTGAAACCCTGCTATTTTGTTATATCTATTTGCTGTCATAAAACATGCTGAAATTGAAAAACAGGATACCACACTGTAGGAACCATACAAAAATCCCCTGAAAACTAAACTGTGAAATATCAACAACAAAGAATTTCAGCGCTGGATCTGTCAGTGGCCGCGGGGCATTTGGGAGGCTGCTAACATACCACAACTGCAGCAGCCAAGTTCAGTCTCAATTCCACTGACTTACAAGGTTGAGTGACATCAGTCCCATGGAAGCACAACTCTCTCCCCCACTGAATCTTTGCACTTACTCTTAAATACACCTGCACTTTAAAGAAAGGGCATCACTAAAGTAGAAGCTGATGATCAGAGTAACACTAAAATCCCTTTTAGCTTGCCAACTTCATCTCCGCATCCTCTGAAAACAAGTGTCAAGTCACAGCATACTGCACAGCATGCCTTCTTCCCAGCTCTGCCTGCTCCATTTCCTGGGACTTCAGAATATATACACAGGGTCTGTTTATTTGAGAGAAGACTTAAGTCTTATTTTGCTATTCTGTTGATAGGAGAAAAGATTTCCACTGTAGATGCATGATTTTTCTTTTAATTAGACTTTTAAAAGTCTTTTTAATGCAAATGAGCACAACCTATGTATTTCAATAAAGTAACATCAGTTAACAGTCAGAGAAAAAAATCCACATATGTTAGCAGCAACATAATTAAAAAAACCAAAAGCTATAGCATATCTGATGGAATCAAGTAAAAATGGCAGTCTGAACCACTGCAGTTTCTGTCTTCTTCCACCTTACTCCCAAATCTTCACAAAGCTGTTAGCAAAAGGTGATAGGTTATTGTTCACCATCAATTGCAAGAAACCTTGTGGCTTTGTGCTTCCTAATTTAAAGCTACTATACAAAAAGACTGTGCTTTTGAAGCCCTGCAAAGCCCATTTAATTAGCTGCAAGACACCAACAGATCAGTTACAGCAGCTGGTAAAATCCCCAGAATGGTTATCCTACACAGCAGTGCAGAGGAATCTGTGACTTACTCTAAAGTCAACACAATTTAAATTCCAGCAATAGAGGAATCAAAAACAGATGAAAAAGGGCATCTGCAAACAGACAATAATCAGGTAAAACAAGTAAGGTAGGAACAGTCCAATAAATTTTGTTATTTAAAATTTTTTTTTCAGGCATACCGAATGTGACAATCAAATAACTATCTAGCCATTGTTGTGACAGCAGTTTTACCAGTAAGAAAAATATTTGACCACTGGGAAGGAGAAACGTATTACAGCAAAGAGGCTTACCTGAGGAAAACCAGTTTTAATTGAAGTACATTTTGTCAGCTCAAATGTCAATTAATATCAGTCTTCAGCTTTAATAATGTGTCCTTTCCTCAGTTCTAAAGCAATTTTCTAGTAAAATTTCCCTAAGTGTTCTACAGCAGTAGCAGATGCACACATGCATTTAACTCTGCCCACACTATAAAATAATCACCTGCCTGCAATCTACAAAATTCCTCAGGATGGGAAATCAAAACCCTTTGGGAAAGGTAGATAGGCAGCAGTCAGCTACACACTTCAAATGGAATTTGGCAAGTAAAACAGGACCAGAGCTCATTCTTGTGATCTGTGTTACACAAGTTCAATGACAAAGGCAGTCAGAAGCTCTGTTCTTATCATGCTCAGACCTAGCAACATTATCAACCAAGAGAAAGCCTGTCATCTACAGCATCCTGATTGCATTTGGACCTGCAGACCAAGACCTCATCAGTCCTGGCAGAGAAGTCAGGTAAGGTCACAAGCTTCTGATGGTATGTCTGCAAATAAACTATTAAAAGATGGAAGCCAGTATTTTCTACCAGAACGTAAGATTTTATGAGTGCTGCCCGAGTTATAAGTACACACAGTGTACTACCGGAGGCTTTCATTCTCTTGGCAAGAAACAGAAGAGTTGGCAGCTTATAAAGAAATGAAGAGGGACATTTGTTTGACGGTTTTAAAGTTCCTGTTCTTTCATGCAAAACCTAAAGTTACTTGTGTATTATCTTAAAAAATTATATATATAGCTCACCTTCTTTAATTTGAATGTTGCCTGTTTGCTGCCTACTGTGGTATCAGACACATTGAGCGTGCCAAGTTTTTCTTCAAGCTTTAGACGATCTTCAAGAGTTTTCCTGCAGAGAATAATTAACATTAATCCCAATTCTTGCCATCTTTTTACTATAATAAACGCTGATAATGCAGTCAAAACTAATCTCAATTTCTCTGAAACCCTGAAATGCCATAACTCTAAAAAATAAACATTCAGTAAACAGAAGAGAAAGACAAGTTTAAATCATTCCCTCCAGATATTGCTTTTAGTAGAAACAATTTTAAAATTTATGTAAAGTTCATTGTTTTTTTCTGCTAAAAAAGCAACAAGACTCTAGTTGAGAAAGAAACCACACCCTTCTATTGCTATAGTTTTCTATGAAATGTCAGAAAAAGTCAGGAATATTCAGCTGCAGTAATAGATACATACACAAATAAAAAAACCCAGTAAGGTTTCTTGAAATCTTATAATTTCTGAACTGGAAACACTTTTGAGGGAAGGAAATAATCTTGACTGTACATCAGAACAAATTCGTTACTGAATGAATCACTTCACTGATAGAGACAAACTACTTAGCCCAAATAAAAATGACCGTTCGGACACTGTGACTGTTAAGTCTAATGCAAATAGTTTTCTAAATAAAAGAACAATGCAAACAAGTGAATGTGATAAATAGACAGACTCTGACCCCAGCAAGGAGCTCCACATGAGCATATTCCTTCAAGCTCATGGTACTCATCAGTTAGCTTCTGTGAGCAAGCTGGTATAGAGCCTCACCCTCAGGCACTGAACTCTAGCGTTTCTGTGGAGGAGGTAGCCATTGTGGTTGAAACGGATACTGCTGTCAGCTCTCCCCCACTGGAAGTAAATGCCCCTACAAAAGCGAGACACATGGACATGCCCCAGTTGCTCCAGGTTGTGAGCTGATATTTAATATCACCCTTGCTGACTTCAGTAAGTTGGGTCGTAAATTGCAACAGCTGAGGAGTGGAAATACACTTTGCTCCTGCACAGCCTCCAGCACAAGGGTGAGGCAGGCAGGGATGGTGCTGGCTTCACCCAGCCTCCCTAAAGGCACCTGTGAGTCCTAACACGGCTAGTCCTTCTTCTACAATGTGGGCCCTACGAGTAGGTAGTGCCACCTGAGAATATGACATGGCTTGTATGATCAGACAACTCACTCTGTGATTTGCTTAGAAAACATTCCCCTAACTGTAAATGAAATTAGCTTCTGCAATTTGAGATGCTGCTATTAGTGCCTTATTAGATCTCTGAAGAAGGCTAAAAGACACTTTTTGTACAAGTTTTAAAGTGGAAAATAAGTAATCATAAAAATACGGACGATTAGCAGCCACCGAAGTCATTGGCATTCACTGTGGATGAAGGGCTCATGGATGGTGGCCTATGCATGAAGTCTCTGAAGTCCACTGAATTTTGGTTAATGAGCCATTTTATGTAACAAAGACTGTTCAGATTAACAATGAAAAATTACTGTCAAGAATTACTTTATTTCTCATGACTAGGTACTTTGATTGTGTTTCTTTTCTGTAGTATATTTTTCATTGAGTTCATGTAAAAACTTGTTCCATCTGTGTGCATCGGGAAGACAAGCTAAGCCTTAGAGCTAACTATGGCAGAAGATCAGTCACCAACATTGTGGTGGGATTTCTACATTCAAGTGAAGTCCCATTTTTCTCCCCTTTGAAAGTGAACTGGAGAAATATGGCTATTACCCAGCAATTATTTAGCATGACTGCCTAGATACTGCTTCAGTCAGGAGAAAAATTAAAATGAGGAGATATTAGCAAAACACCGTGGGGTTGCAATTTTACTGAATAATTGCAGGTATGGCTATATTTATCTGAAAATGTGCAGACTTCAAATGATAGTCAGTTGCACACATTGATACACAAACACTTAAAATGGCTGGGTTGTTTGGGTTTTGTTTTTTGGTTTTGGGTTTTTTTTTTTGAATCATCCTCAACAAATTGATTCAAGGGATACATTAACAGTGCTATTAAAAACAACTTCCCCTGCCCCACAGTAAAAAAAGCAAACAAACAAAAAAATTGCCCAGGCACTTTTCTTTTCCTCGTTATAAAGAGAACAGTTTTTCAGGACTTTTCCTGCTGTTTTACTTTAGCAATACCTAGGAATGTCAGCTATGCTTTTGTTGGCTTTTGTTGACTTTCTTGGCCACCTCTGAAGATACATACATTGACTGTCATAGTTTATAAAGTATGACGACTGTAGTTTTTAATTTTGACATGCTCTTAACTTCAATAACAAACCTTTTAAAGGGACATCAAGAAAATCAGAAGAGCTCTCAGGACACTGATAAAAACCCTTTCCTTTTAGGGATCCCCTTTTAAGTTACTATGTAAGGAACTTATGCAGGAAGTAAACAAAGCAAAGTTTCACAAGTTTTCATGTGTAAGCCTAAGAGTGAAAAAGGGGAAAATGAAATGTAGAAGATTTGAGACAAGGCATTTTTTACAACCATGACTAAATTTTGCAGCCTTCCTGTGCAAAGAAATGTGTAGACTGTTGGTCTATGAAGAAATTTATAGTATGCACCACTGCTTTAGAAGTTGGGCTTGGAGCTGTGCTGAGTCAGGAACACGTTGAAAGAAACACCCAGTTTTATATAAGTCATAAACTGTTTCCTCAGGTAGAACATTATATGATTAGAGAAAAAAAGAACACCTAGCCATTAAATGCATAGTGAAGGTATTAAGGTACTTAATTATATTGGTCACAGACCATCATTCCATAACTTGGATAAATCAAATCAAAGACAAACATGCCAGCCTCACCAGATGGTACATGCCACTACAGTCTTTCCAATTTTCAGTACATTACTTGAATTAATTATTTTTATGCTGACTACTTAACACTGAATAAGGCCAGCAGAAAACATATTTAAGTATTTTCTTCATAAAATTATAATATGTAAAAATGCTTATTAACCAAACAAGTAGCTCACAACACAGACTAAGTCATTATGATTACAGAATCATGTCAGCTATACATTATAAGAAACAGATACCAGCTGTTAATTTTTAATTTCTTCTAAGACTTTGAGGAATATCAAACTCCACACTATGAACAGTGCTTGGATGAGCACAAATGGGATCAGTGAGTATAGAGCTAATTGCTTAGACAAAAATAAATTATGGAAAGACAATTCAATGACAGCAACTCAGAAAAACATAAAGGATGTAATGCTGTCACATCCATTTTTTTGTCATCTAATTCTATCCTCAATTTTATCTTTTTTTTTCTTTTTTTTTTTTTTTTAAACATTTTACATTACATCCCATCTATGCACCTACCACGCAGAGGGTATCCAACCTAAGCTACCCTAATTATGCATCATACCTTGCAAAATATTCTGCAGAGAATTAGCAGCAAATCTTAAGACATATTCTCTTTTCCCTAAAAGCAGTCTTTTAAAAGTCTTCCCATGGTTTATGTCACCACTGATATTCCTCCATTCATTGGACAGGTCTGTGGTATTTGATTTCAATTTTCCCAAGTTAAAGCAATAATTTTTCTCCCTTTACACAGCAGATGAATGAATTTACTTTGTCCTGTGTTACACTGTAATAATTTTTTCCAGATGTTTCTCTTCCTTACGCCTGTCTTGGCTTATTTACTTAACTTTCAGTATCCTTGTTCACATTTAAGCCTTCCATGTTTTGAACAAAATGAAATCTTAATACTTCAAGTTGAGTGTCCTTGAGAATTTCCTTTAGAGGTCAGCAGCTGAATTTGTGTAAAAGAACAGTATGTGAGTAGGCTGCAGCCATACTGCCTTTTAGTGAAGTATTTCAATGGCAATGAGAATACAGGGCCATTTGACCAGTGTCTCAGGCTCCTTTCAAGTCACTTGTTAACATGACTATAAATCTAAGTACAATGTAAAAAATATCCTTAACCTAGAATACTCTGTCAGAGTGTCCAGAGTGGATTTTCTCCTGACAAAGAAGAAAAACTGACAAAAACAAGAAGTTGTTTCATCTTCTGGAAGAAAGAAAGAAAAATAATCAGAAGCAAGGTGATGGAGAAATCTAATAAAGTTAAGAGTCCAGAATGAGTGGGTATACTCAATATAAAGAACAAAGAAAAATCCCTGTGTGAAAACACTTGCTGATAAAAAAAAGCTAAGGAAAATATGGGAATAATTTCTGCAGAACTGCTATAAATGCCACTTTATAAAAACTACTACTTCTATTTAAAGAGGTCTTACAGGTACAGCATGGAAAAAACAGACTACTAGACTATCTAGAAATACTATCTCAGTAATACTTGAAGACCATTTTACATGATAATTCCAGTTAAAAACTTGCACATTTAAAGGGACAGGCTAAATTTTTTATCAAATGTTTCTTTACATATCTCCAGAAAATTTCCATCATGAAACAACTAGGTTGTAGAGTCAGTCATTAGTGACATAAAGAAAAAGCCCCATTATATATATTATTCATTTCCTTTTCTTTGACTGTATCATTTCATTCTAAGTAAAGACATAATGGCTATCACGAGATCCATCTAGCCCAGCAACTTGTTTCCGACATTAGTCAAAATTCTGCTCTGTATCCATTGTGCTGCAAGAACTTTGAAGCTATTGTCTTTCAATGTTTCAATACTAGCATCTGTGCTCCAAATAATAAAAGGCGATTAAATCTCATCTTTGAAGGAAAGGAAAAAAAAAAAAAAAAAAAAAGGGGAGATTTGCAGGCATTAAGCACCTCAAAGGCAAGTCCTTTAGTTTGACGTGCTCTTTATACAGTACCCAACTACTTCGGCTGATCATCAACTTAAGGAAATCCAAATTAAAAAAAAAAAAGTCTGATTATTTTATATTGCAAAAAGAAAACCAGAAATAGTAAAACCTGATAATATCAGGACAGCACAGTTTTTTGAAAGTTTCTGGATGCCATAAAAATTCCCAGACAAAACAATATTTTCTTTTTTACCACCTTGATCCTTCCTCCAAAACAGTGTCTAGTCATGCAGTATTCTACACCTTTTTAGAGGGTCAGATGAAAAACATGCAGCCTGTCAACCTCATACTGACATTTGTGGACAAATATAACCAGTCTCACAGACATCAGTGTTGTTATTTGTGAGAGCAGCAGTTCACCAGCACTGATTAATGGATCCCCAAACCTGGCTCAGAATATTAATCTCTTACTCATCTCATTTGTGTTGTCTCTCTGCCATACTTTAAACATCATATTTGTTTAACTACAAAACAAAGCCTTCAACAACTATGTCGCTTTAAGTTATATCCCTGAGTTGCCAGATGTGGCTTTACTAGTAAGTGCTTCCGAGCCAAAATGCCACTGGCCTGCACTGTAGAGAAATACTTGAGAATTGCCCACCCCCAGCTATTAAAACAGGAACATTAGTCTTACTTCATTAATTTTTGTTTTTTGGCAGAGTCTTTGAAGCTTCTGAATTCCTCTCCTTCTTTAATCTCAAAAAAATGAGGTTTCAGTAATGTTTGCTGATCCTCCTTGAACCTTTCCTGCCGCTTTACTTTTTCCTCTTGGCGTAGAAGCTTGCGCTGTTTCCTGACCTCTTCAACCCAGCCTTTTTCATCATCTGAACTCTCAGAACTTTCTGCATCACTTGCTTTTCCTTCTGGTTCTTCCTCCTCTTCCTGCAGACAAAAATAGTACAAAATAAGAAATCATCAACTAATTTTCTTTTCAAACCATTCCTGCAATGAAAGTACGTGACAGCTTTTACATAGACGCAGTTGAAGAGAACTAAAATTTGAACAAAAGCAGTAACAGCAAATGAAGCAGAAGATATATTATAAAATTTTTTCCACCTACATATTTTACGCTTTTCAAACCTACATTAATGTAGACACAATATTGTTCACATCTAAAAACTAGAATAACATTATAAATTACACTTAATTACTGTAGCTGATAAGACATTCTTGCATTGCCTCCATCTTTCCTTCTTTCTAGGGTGAAAAATCTGAATGCTTGAAACAAAGAAAACTATGGATTTTTCCTAATCCGAGTGGAAAATATTTTACCTGTTCTTGTGCTTCCAGTTCCTCTAAGATCTTTAGTTTCCTCTTTCTTTTCTCACTTATTTTAGAAACAAGTGGGTTAAGTAGCCTAAATTCTTCACTCTGCTCATCCACCTGGTAATCTGGATTCTCAAACATGACCTTAAAACGATCATCTTTGAGAAGGCTAGGCAGATTCTGGAAAAGAAGTAAAGCATGAGTGAGTTATAAAATTCTGAAATGGACATTGGTAAAGTAAGTAACACCTTTTTAATTAAACAAAACTCAAAAGCAGCATGTGAAATGCCAGTTCCTTCCAGGTCATATAAAAATCAAGATTTATGCTTATTATATTTTATTACTTTCACAAAGATCAAATAAACATCATTCTAAGCTACCTGTAAGCAAGACAGGTTGGTTTTCTTTATGCATACTATAGACACCTTAAATACACAATTACTAATATTTTTTAATTAATGTTTCTCATACATTCAAGCCAGCTAGTCTGGAGACGTGTTGATATCTATTGACTAATCAGCAGTACCTCCAAGGCAAATACCCTGCCTGACGGGGATGATTGTACAACATGTACAACAAATTATCAAGGTAAACATGTCTTTATGCAATGCTACTACTGTTTTACTGTAAATATGTAAGAGTAAGTGTTTCTATACACCTTACACACTTTTTCTTCACTGCCCTCGCATACGGAATGAAAAAGGCAGTTTCATTCATGACAAAGTAAAATGAACTCAGTTTAAATTATGCTACTGTTGAATTAGGAACAGTTCAAGCTACAATTTCAGCTTCTGCAAATACCTGTTGTCATCATTTTAAAATCATTAAGTACATAGCTTTTTAATATAAAAAGCTGATCTTTCAAAATTGTCAAAATTACACCAGCACATACATCCCACCCTAGCATCGAATTTTCATTGTTACCTAAGAAGGGGGGGAGGGGGGCGGGGAAGATACAGAAAACAAATGTAGATTTCAAACACAGAAACTGTTGCAAATGTGTGACTTGCAGTCACACAGCCAAAAATTAAACCCCAAAGCCTAAAATAAATTGCTTTTCATAAGACTCTAATGCCATTCAGGAAAATAACCAGAACATGCATTTTTACATATACTCTTTTTAGTCCACTTAATAATACAATTTATATGTACTCCTAGACAAATCAGCCCCCATTTATTGAACTCATATTTCCATCATAACACTGGCTTAGTCTGCATTTAAGGTTTTACCACCACCTACTTTTTCAGTAGTTCATGCTTCCTAGTAACTGTAACACACAGGATTTCATTAGATGCCGCATGAAGCTAATGCCTGCCTTTCACGAATGCCACAGGCCTGTGAGAATGAGCACCTATGAAGTGATACCTACAGACCCCACCCCCCCACCCCGATACTAAACATTAACTCATTTGGTCATTTAGACTTCGCTTAGGATAAAGATTGATTATTTTGAACATCAGGAAGAATTCTGGTTGCATAAGAGCAAACCATTTTGGCTATTTTATAAAATGTAGTCAACTGTGCGCACAAAGACAGGCAATTGTAACTTCAGTTTTACAGATAACATCTATCTTGTCATGGTCACCACCAAGATACCAATAAATGCAAACAACAGGTCTTTTTTGAACAACTTTGGTATTGACTCTGCATTTAGCTAGCTTCTGGAGTCCTGTGAAGCCCATATCGCTTCACAGTGAATATTTCATCATTTTAAGCTTTAAGTTACTACACGGTCTTTTTGGTGCTGCAGCTACAGTGAAGTACACCTTAAAGCCACCTACTAGGATAAGTTATTTATGAGAAACAGAAACAATGGAACTTTGAATCTGTTTGCCAGATAACAAAAAAAGCCCCAACAACAAAAAAATCAATACTGTAAGCATTACTATTTCTGTGATCCCAGTTAGAGAAGTCTCCAAAACAAAAGCTCACCTTCTGTTTCCTTTTTCTAGTAACCTGTTGCTCTTCTCCTTCTTCTTCAATCAGTTTGAGTGCAAGCTCTTTATTGACTTTTGGAAGTTTCTAAAGAGAGAGAAGCAATTAATCAGTAAATTACTCTTTTATACATGCAAACCCCTATATGCATTACATTCTTAAGTGTGGTGAAGAGAGTATTCTTATTCATTCTTCTAACTCTTGCTGAAAAGCTCCTTGACTGTCCAAATATTTCTAGGTATTAGTTAAGCAACAGCACTTGGAGAAAATTTAAGCCGAACTTCTGTATTATTTTTTCCTTGTAATGCATCAGCTTTAGTACTTTAAAAGCAATTATTTTTCCTTGTATGTTGAACAAATTCAATCTAGAAAGCTACTAGTTACAAATGCAATACTATTTTTATATTCTCTTTCCAGAGTTATCCAGTGTTTTAATGGCTTAAATCATTTAAACTAAATGATTCAATGACAGAAGTAGAAACTGCAAGTTTTACCAGTGGGTTACTCACTCAAGTGGCAAATCTGATGAGAGCTGCTCTTTTACAGCTTTCTCATCTGTGGGGATCACACGCATGGGAACTTTATGGTTCCATTCAAAAAGTTCTATAAATTACTTTGTGTCTCCGATGATAAACAGAATCAAATCCTAAGTCATTACATCTCTGAGATACACTTAAGAATATATTGCTCTTTGTGAATAGTTTTCCCAGAACTATACTCATTGTTTACAGGATTTACCTTTAGCTGAACTCTCTGTGCGCGTGTTTCTTCTATCTTCTGCCTTATTTTCTCTCTTCTGTATTCTTCATAGGCAAAGGGGTTGGCCATCATTTTTGCCTTTGAACAAGGAGGAAGTAAAAAGAATATACCATTAATACAGGAGACAGTCCGTTATTTGGAGGAAAAAAAACCCCACAAAACAAAAACCACCACCCCCCCCACCAAAAACCCAACACACATTTTATTAAGAGTAAAAATTGACAAAGATCAGCCTTATTTACCTTATGATAAAGTCTTATGTCCATGAAAAAGCCATGCATATATGCTCTGAGCAATGATGATCCAATGAGATGAGAAAGGCCTGGGAAAAAAGTTACAGAGGATTTCAAAGAGCTTTCATATACAAAGAATTCCTATTCCAAGCTAGCCACTTCACTTACCTGATTCAAGACAAACAAGCACTGCAATGCAACACATCAATCTAACAGTCACATCCATTACATAAAGACTAAGTAAAAACATTAAAAAAAAAAAAAAATCAGTTTGGCCAGCAAGAAATTCAAGCTTCTTCAGAACAAGAAAATCCATTTTTCTTGTCATAACACATGTTACTGTGCACTTTTTAAAAATGCCCACATGTACTACGCTCCTTAAAAGTTCATGAAGAAAAATTCCGAGAGAATTTTTTTGAAAGTCCATAGGTGTTTGACAATCACTTTTTTAGTGTGGTATAGAGATGTTTTTAATTAAAGAGTTTTGCCTTGGGTCACTATCTTTGAAGAATCAACATGTTGGAAAAAAATACAGTACCACATCAGGTCATAAAACTGTCACCCTAGGCCCTATCCTAAGTAAAAATGAAAATACTTTTAACAGTTCTCTGATATTCCTTCCATGTATCTTCACAAAATTCCAGGACTGAGAAAAGGAAAAGGTTTTATAGCAAAATATCCTCTACAGACCCTGAATCTTTATTTTAGGGTCTTATAATTAAGAATTAACAAAATTCCTCTAGAACTAATTGCAAAAAAACAGAAGTGAGAAACTGCTCTGCATCTCAGAAAGCAAAGTTGTTTCTAAAAATTTTGTTAACTGTTTGCAGGAAACAATCTTCCTGCATATTTCAAAATGAGAGTACCTCCAGCTAATGGCGAGTAATACAAAGAAACCCTAACATATGAAATATAAAATATCCCTTAAGCTGGTTCTTCATTTGAAAGCCTGCATCTATAGGGAAATGAATTTGATTTAAGTTATAGCGAATTTAAAGCAGAATAAGTATTCCCAGTCAAGTCTCTGTGTAGATAACACTACATTACCTTATTCCCTTACAACTGGGATAGGGGTCTGTGGGCTACATTCAGACCATCTACTCTAGAACTCATAACGCTGAAGATGCAGGTGCTTTGGATGACCTCCTCCTTGTATGGCGTCCTGCCAGGCCAAACCCAACTCCCATATTCAGAGGTTAATTAAACTGGAGCAAAGCACTGCAATCAAAACACGCAGCAGACAGAAAAGGACTAACTACCTTGGGAAAAGCACGCTTACCTTCTCTGCTATGTAACTTTCAGCATTCTAATTCCTTGAAACTCTGTTTCTATTAGCCCCAGAATGATTTGTATTTTCTGGAAATCACTACATTCAAATAGGATAGCCTTTGGCAGATTTTCCTGAGTTCCACCACAGTATTTGAGCACCTAAAAAATATTTTGATAACTAAACCAACTTCTCTTCCTATGCCTTTCATTTAGTGTCTGAAAGCACACACAACAGATTCCTGGACAAATCAGCAAATATCAATCATCTTCACAGGATAAAAATCTGAGAAACACAAATACCTAGTGTTGCACTGATTGGGAACCAAAGAACATACAGCCATCAGTCTGGTCTATTAATAACCAAGAAGACTGGAGGAAACTACTGCCAGTGACTTTCTAACATCCCTCATATGTCACATCAAAATTACAAAACTTATATGTGTAAATAATCAAAAACTGAACAAAGAAGTCAGCTAAAGAGGATATTCAACAGTTTTACCTAAATTTTCAAGGTCTTTTCTGGTAACAAATTTGTAATCATCATAAACTGTGCTCTCTGGATTCTCTTCCAGTTCTTCAGTCAAGTTGTCCAAGAAGGAACACCATTTTGGGGCAGGTCCTAAAACCTGTGGATATTATAGAAAGTTGTAACATTGTATATTCTTAGAGAAAAAAAAACCTACAGTTATGCTTTCAAGCTACTGTGCTGTAATGGAATAGAGAATGATTCCCCCTGAAATTAAAACAGACCTTAAAAGCAACAGCAGTCAGAGAACACAATTAAACCTATGGCTTGCAACACCAATAAGGAGTACTATAGATTATGCAAGTGTTATTTTAATTTAGGTCATTTATTTGAGACCAATGATCTAGAGGTTTCATGTTTAACTGTTTCAAGTGGTCCCAGTCTGATTAATTTATTAAAAACTCAGAGCCAAATGTTATAGATAAAATTATGAACTAATTGCATTAGATAGTAACTAATCTGTAAAGCACTGTTGGATCTTGAACTCATTAGGTTCACTATGCAATCATGTTAAATGCTATTCTGCCTTATTTATTTTAATTAAACCACCACAGGTATATTTCATGTATTTTTATTCAACGATAAACCCAGACCGTATGAACAGAAAATAGAAAATACTAAAAAGCTTGCATATTTCTACCATGAGGCAAAAGATTTATTTGAACAGTATTATGTTGCACTATCAATGTACTTTTCCATATAAGCTTCCTCCAATTTCCCAAGTTAACAATTAGCTCCCTTCACTTTTCCCTCCCACTGTTCTGATTGAAATTCCTCTCTATCCTGATGCATGCAGCCATACTCAACTGTTCCAGTACTATTATTTTAGTAGGTGAGTTAGCCGAATGGAAAAATCCAACGCTACATTTTTTTCTCTAGAGCAAATCATCTGACATTTTAGAACGTAAAGTGGCCAGTTAACTCCTAGAGTGGGACTTCGGATGAGGCTTCTGACTTGTTTGCTAAAAATTTACGTTAAAAACTCTGCAGTCAACACAACTACAAGAATGGTTGTGATTCAACAACAACATTTTAAGATTCTATTTGGTTATGGAAACAAGGAGAAGTGATTTTATGTATATAAAATACATATAGTTTGACATGATAGTGTGGTAAGAGTATGACATAATGCTGTTCATTTAAAAAAGTGTGTTACTACTCATTTAAAAGTCTTCTTTTGAAGACAACTATACACAAAAAAATTGTAAAAATTGTATTCTAGACCATAATATTCTTGACTGTAACATTCCAGTATTCTAGACCACTATTGTCTCTGTATCAAGTACAATTTATCTCGGTAAGATTTCAGAACTAGCTGAGAACCACAACATGCCAAATGAAAAACTGCACTTTTTTACAGTGCTGCATAGTTTATTCCAATTAGTAAGAGCTTCTAAGGAAAGACCCAAGATGTCACTAACAGGAAAGACTTTACCTACTTAATGAATGAATCAAATCCCTGTGTCTGCTCCAGTAATACTCAGCTTAAACACTATAAAATATTCATATTGATTTCTTACCAACATTGCAGAAGCCTTTCTCTCCATCCAGATTTTAAACTTTTCAGTTATTTCCCCCAAACCCACTTCTTCAAGTCTAAATGCCAAACTTTCATATTAATAAGAAAGCAGTCTAGATATATTAAATGTATCACTGGTTTTCATGCCATTCAAGAAATCAGTTATCTGTGCTTCATTACCAGAACATCAAAGCATGACCAGGGTGGAGGAATCTTCTCTAAAGTTTACTTACAGTTTTGTTTTGGATGAAACCATTTGTCCTTCTTACAAAAAAGAAGTTGCTTACTACCTAAACAAAACTTCTCTGGTAACAAAATTTAAGTACAAGTTTCTCTGCTGAAGATTATTAGAAATGAGATTAGAGAATCCTTGACTCACGTCCATTCCCATTAAATAAAAAGGTTCCCCTTCATTCCATCTTGCTGACGCATGATGTAAAGATCTCTATCACTTCAATAAACCTTTTTCATCACTTCCACGTCTATGACACTACCTGCTCAAGCCTTACAAAGTGCACGTTACTCATTAGAATTCAGGCCATTCCAAGCAGTTAGGGTAATCCCCCCACGGGATCCTGACTGGTGTAAATCTTTGAACGTATAACTAAAGCAGAAGTCTCACAAATAAGGGGAAAACAGTTAATCTGCTCTTCAGCTGTAGCTCCACTCACTGTTCCAAGTATCCCTGTACTCAAAAGCTGATACTGAGAGTAAAACCTTTCATAGCACATAACATGTGCCATGAAAAACACAAAAAACACATAAAACCAAAAGACCCGATTATTCGTTATAATCTGTGGAGTGAGTTGGATGATCAGATCATAGAAAACAAGGGGGTGGGTGGGAAATAAGATAATTAACAGAAAAAAGCAGTGACAGAATACCAGGAAAAAAATAGAAAGTCCAACCATTATTCAAATTTCACATGTAAGCTGACAGAAAGTAAAACCCTACAGAGATGTCTGTGTATGTTTTATTGCCTTATTTCCCTCTCTCCCACCCTACTGAAACCACTTGCCTACCTATTCTAAGACACGCTAGGAGCTTTGCTTTGTATGTTAGAACACTTTTTAAAGCTTAGGAAGACATTTAAAGATAGAAAAGGGAAACAATACCAGCCACAATGACAAAAACATAAACAAGAAATGTCCTTCTCTTGCAACAGTAATTCTTCACAAAATTTAATGGCCACTGCATTTTAACTGTGGAGTTTAATGCTCCTCTCTCACCCACTGTCAACCAACAGACATCCCAGGACAGTGCCGAGAGCAGTCCGAAATGGCAGGCTCTGCCATTCCTGTGCCCAGGTACAAATGCGACAGTTCAGAGGGCTGGTCTGCACCTGGCCACCAAGCACGAGGCGGATGGGTGAAACCTGCCTCCCCAGCCACTTCCCGGGTTTCCATACAGCGGGTGCGCAGCAGCACAGGTGGGACCCCTTGGGACCCCTGCCACCACCTCAGCCTGCTGTGCAGTACCCGCCAAAACCAGCAAACAGCCACAAAGTTGTGGAGTTGGGGTAGGCTAATTAATATACTTGTTGATTTTGATTGGGAATGTACAATTCTACCGCATCTAAGGGAGAAAAAAAGCACTGGAATTCACAGCAAGAATAAGAAAATGTTATCGAGGTAGGTAATCACATGCAACCAAACTGACAGATCTCATTTTCACAATATTTATGATATACCAAATAGGTTTCCCTGCAAGTTTTAGATAAGTTGCACACAGCTAATGAGAAAATCATTATTAAATGAGTGCACATCTACACTCGGCTTTTACTGAAGTATTTCTTAGGATAGGAAAACCAGACATCACCAACAGTGACCAAACCTATATTTTTGCTATTTTCATTATTATTCTATTTTTAGTAGGATAACCACTTCTCGAGACAATTTCCTCCAACTGCTAGTGAAAGTCAAGACGTCTGCCTTTGAAAATATTTTTGCCTATGAACAGAGCAGCCTCACCTGCAGGCTGGGCTCCGCTGGCAGCAAGCTGGGTGGGCTGCTCCTCCTCTCCTCCCCTGCTGCTCTCCTCCTCAGCCGACTGGAAACTGCACCCATGAGGTGATCAAAACACAGTTATCCCACATCGTGTCCCACCACCACGCTGCAAGACGGAGTGGCAGCTGGGTCACGCTGGGGCAGAGACGAGGAGCAGCCATGGGCAAGCCACACGGCCGGACTTACCACAGGGGCCTTCCCGCTGCGGCACACAGCCAACATGGACACCTCGCCATTGCCTTTCCTGTCTTATACCAAGGCACAAGAAGTAAAGATGTGGACTTTATAATTATTAGTTTTGTGCCTTCTAATGCCAAAGTTTTGTTAGTACACATCAGAATGTCTTTTTTTCTTTAACTTTAGATGCAGAAAACACAAAACATGATGAGTAATCAAGCATGCAACTGAGCAGAGACAAGTGCAAGGCCAAACCATTCAAGAAAAAGGGAGAGAAAAATGCTGACAGAAAAATATTTTTTAAAATATTGTAAAATAACTTCAAAGAGCACAGTTCTTTGTATTCTATTTTATAAGACATTTAACTTGATAGTCCTGTAGCAGCACAAATCTTATGCGGCACAGCTCTGCAATGCCCTGCACTTACAGCCATGCCTAACTCCTGAGCAATTCTGTAAAAAGTATCATCCTGTCATCGGCCCGTAATTCCCCCGAAATTAATGAACCCTAGGACAGAGTAGGTATTACTCCCAACCCACAAGAGATGTTCCTTGTCTTGAATCTGGAACAGCCAGCTCTGCAGAGCCCTTAGAGCCACAGAAAAACTGAGTCTAATCCTAACTAGTATTAAACATGCTCAACGACTCAAAAGAAGGCCAGGATGTGTAGGAGATTCCAGAGTCAGATGTCACGAGATTTAAATTAAACAACTTTGAATGCACATACAGACGTATGTGTTTGAAGGTTTCAGGGACCAATTCTACACCAGTGAACAGTTGCTCTTTTCTTCTCAGGGAGTCAAACAGGTTCCAAAATCTGTTTTTCAGGTTATTAAATAGTAAGTCCCTGGAGGATTTCATACAAGGCAGTGATAAACTCGTCAGCTGTAAATAAGATGTCAAAATATATTAAGACTCAACCAGCATAAACTCCTCTCAACCTTCACTGATGTATTTTAGCAATCAAAAATATGCATAATGTTCACAGACAGTATAAATCAGGTTTGAAAATAATTAACTAGAATTTGCAAAGTTTACACTGCCTGAATTCCCTCTAGAAGACTAACTTAATGTATGTGGACATCATTCAATGAAACACTTCCAAAAACTTTGGAAAGCAAAAGTATAAGCTGCTGTGGCTGTACAAGACAGCAACAGGCAGCATCAGAGAAACTGCAGTTTCACAAAAATTAATGTTAATGCCGTATCATGCCATACCATAATAATATGTTTAATAACAAATAAGTATGAAAATACATCACAACACTGCTCTTTCATAATGTATTTTGGAAGTAAAACCTTCTTTCAAAAATCTTCAAATTGTTTGTTGTGGTCTCCTATGGATTTTAAGTTAGACTCTAAGACCTTTATCAGGTAGCAAAAATGTACTAGTTAAATC